TCACCAAAGTTGTTGGGGACAAATCCCAAACCTTTGTTCAACAGTAGGATCTCCCCTGTAGACTGAGGGTATGAGGAGAGATTTACCACTAGGTTGCCCGTGCTGTCTTGCTCCGAGTTTCACTGCTCAACAGAGCTCCTTTTGGGGCGTTTCCCCCAGCTCGTCGTCTTGTGTTGGTCTTTTCTTGTGCTAAAAAATGAGACTGTGAGGAAGTTGAAGATTCACTAAGATTTGTGTCTGATTGTGAGGAGGATTGTGACTGTAATTCCTAATTTCTATTGTGTCTCTTTGCCCTTCATTCATATTTCCAAGTATAGACTTGGTCCTCTTGATAAGCTATGATGTCTCGCCTGAACTTAACAAGTTTTCTTGTCAGGACCTTTTTCTTTTAATTTTCTAGAATTGTATGATGTGTTTCAAGAAAAGATGTTAGGTTTTCCCTTGTGCTTAAAGCTTCTATGCATGCACGTAGGATATTAGTCAATTCTTCAAATTTAGTTATTTCGCCCTGAATACCTTGTATCGTTAGCGAAATGAGATCCAGACTGCACTTGTTAAGGATGCAAAACCATTTATCACAACATTTTTTGTTAGAGCGACAAAAAATGGGGCAGATATTGAGTCTTAGTCCTCTTGGTATCCTTTTAACGCTGAGATATTCTACTAGATTGACTGAGTGTAGTTGATATTGAATATTATTATTATTATACAGTATTTATAAAGCGCCAATGGTTCGCTCAGCGCTGTACATTACAAAGGGGGACAGAACATGTGACAGAACAATACCAATACAATGCAAAACATGAGGGGATCGAGGGCCCTGTTCTTTTGAGCTTACAATCTAGGAGGGAGGGGATGGTGGCACAGGAGGAGAAAGCTGTGGGGGACGGAGTGGTAGGAAGAGTGGAGGAGGTCGGCAAGTTAGCAGGGGGTGGGGTAGGCTTCCCTGAAGAGATGGGTTTTCAGGTGCGCCTAAAGGAGTGGAGAGTTGGTGATAATCTGATGGGTTGGGGGCAGGGAGTTCAGGAGGATGGGGGAAGCCCTGGAGAAGTCCTGGAGGAGGGCATGGGAGGAGGAGACCAGGGAACTAGAGAGAAGGAGGTCTTGTGAGGAGCGGAGTGTGCGTGCTGGGCGGTACCTGGATATTAGGTCAGTGATGTAGTTCGGGGCAGTATGGTGGACGGCTTTGTACGTCAGTGTTAGGATTTTGAATTTGATCTGTTGCGCAATCGGAAGCCAGTGGAGGGATTGGCAGAGGGGGGGGGGTGGCGGAAATGGAGCTGTTGGAAAGGTGAATGAGTCTGGCAGCCGTATTCAGGATCGACTAAAGCGGGGATAGCCAGCAGCGAGGCAGGCCAGTGAGGAGGGAGTTGCAGTAGTCGAGTCGTGATATGATGAGGGAGTGGATGAGCTGTTTAGTGGTTTCTGGGGTTAGGAACGTGCGTATTTTGGCGATGTTGCGGAGGGGGAGTCTGCACGAGTTTGTTAAAGATTGGACTTGGGGCTGGAAGCATAGGTTGGAGTCCAAGTACTCTGGCCTGCGGGGCAGGTTTGATGGTGGCGTTGTTGGATGTGACGGAGAAGTCAATGGGGGGGGGGGTGGGGGGGAAGACAAGAAACTCTGTTTTGGAGAGGTTCAGTTTAAGGAAGTGGAGCGACATCCAGTCTGATATGTCGCTCAGTAGGTGTGTGATTCGGGCGGAGACCGAGGGGGTGAGGTGGGGGGTTGAGAGATAGATTTGTGTGTCGTCAGCATAGAGGTGGTAGTTGAAGCCGTGAGAGTGTATGAGTTGGCCAAGGGAGGAGGTGTAGATGGAGAAGAGAAGGGGCCCGAGGACGGAGCCTTGAGGGACCCCAACAGAGAGGGGGAGTGAGGGGGAGGTGGTAGCATTATAGGTAACGCTGAAAGAGTGTTGTGACAGGTAGGATGAGAGCCAGAAGAGAGCAGAATCTCTGAGGCCGAGGGAGTGTAGTTTTTGAGGAGGAGGGGGTGGTCGACTGTGTCGAAGGCCGCAGAGAGGTCAAGGAGTAGGAGCACTGAATAGTGGCCATTAGCTTATCGATAGAGGGAGTTTCAAATTGTTTCTGCAGATATGTGATATCAGTATTACTATCTTATTCAAAACACTCTACAATCTGGTCTACTTCCACTTGACTAAACACCAGGGTATCTGTGTCTTATTAGTAAGTGTGGTTAGGTCTGAAAAAGACATAGCCACCAAAAGGGGTGCAATAACCTGTAGAAAGATACAGAAAACACATGTAATTTGCAATAGAAGTCTGCACACCACTATTAACTACACCATTCAACAACCAGCAATGTATTATTATTTAGGGTGCTTAGCAACCAGCAATGTATTATTATTTCCCAAAGCGTCTTCCAGGACAGCTACATGAGATACTGGCTCCGCCCACTACAGGAAACACAGTAATGAGACAAGTTAAAAGCCCCTCCCTCCCCTTCCCCACCTGGAGAGGTGAACACATTGCTTATCTTTTTTATTTTTCTATCCTGCGCGGGTAATTGTGGTTATCTACCAAGTTCCTTCTTTTTCCTGACTAGCCTACTTGTGGGTATGGCCTCGGGAAGTGTATTTAGGCACTGAGAGGGATTTTAGTCTCTTTACCTGGATCTCGCACCCCTGATCTGTGAACCGACTCCAGAAGCTCCTCAAGGTACCAGGTAGGGGTGTTTTCCGGGGAGACCGTATGGCTGTCAGCGGAGGCTGGAATTTTTTGGAGCATTTCCAGGTCCCCATTGCAGTTGTTTCCCCTTCTGGCGGCCCTCATGGTTCCTGTCCCAGGTTGCTGTAAGATGATATGTAAAAATAGAATGAGCTGCTGTACACCGAAAGGCATCAATAACCTCTTTAGACCAAAAATAACAACATAAGGCGCAGCGTTGAAAATTCCAATAACAATCTGATATAAAGTGCAAATGCTGATATGCTGAGAAAATGGTCTGTTGCAGTATGACCACAATTAAAAAGTCTTAATGAGCATATGTTCCCACTTGCAGTGGAGAGATAAAGTGACAGTAGTGCAGACATACATTCAAAAAGTGACTAATCGTGCCAAAGTGACAAAGTCTATGTAATAAATAGGATGTCGAAGTGCAAGGTAAGGTAAGTGATCCACTGTGCGTCTTCTGGTGATCAAATAATCGAATTATACACTCACCAGATGCACAATTCCAATATGCATAAAGGAAAATGCAACATCTCAATGGTTCAGTGGAATCCTCTTATGGACACGTCTATCATCTCTGGGCTTCCCTCTGGACACCTCTATCCTTTTTGGGGTTCCCTCTGGATCATCCGATTGGATACTGCACCTCTCAACTCCCTTCCCTGAGGACTCTGGGTGGGTGGTGGACTCAACAAGAGTCCCAAGAAAGGATGCCAGAATGGTGTGATATAGTTTTAAAAGGGTATTTATTGATCCATAGTAGACATAGACATAATAAGGTAAAGAAGACTGACCATGAGTAGATTCAAGATGGCCACCGGTCCATGTGGGACTCGACGTAACGTCTGGACTCCGCAGCTCTTTCCCTTACGCGTTTCGTGCTAAATGCACATATTCATAAGGGGCGTGCTTGCGGAGTGTCAGAAGTCTGGTATCTCCAATTTATAGCCTGTGAATGGCACGCGTGTTATCGCGTCCGCCATCTTCCCAGCTATTTCGCGCATGAGTGGTATGGTCGGCGCCATAATGTCCGCTTTTTTCGCGCGTGCGCCGTAAGTCGGCGCCATTTTGTTGTGGTCACAGCCAGCTCATGTCATGATTCTAGATGCGCACGCATTCAAGATTACAGGACGTGAGTGGTGCTGTACGCATTGACCTGTGATCATCAGGGAATTATAAATCAATACATAAGTGTTTATATAAATTCATACATAAGAACTACTTGAAATGCCAAGCAAAGAAAGGGGAAATGCATTAAATTTAATATTTCTTAAATGTGATATATTTCCTCCTGCTTACGTGAAAACTCCTGCACATGCGCAATAACCCGCACCTTTTATACGCACTCAATCAACATAGCAGGTGATTGCTAGGAATACATATACTGTATACATCTCAAAATTATAAGTTCTGTCCCCAGAGTTATGTAACTCTAAATAGAACATGGGGGAGATAAGGGAAAAATAGCATGATGATCGTAAGTATAGTACAAGTATAAGTAACAATTGTAATAATCCATATATAAGATATAAAATAAAACATAAAATCATGGTCAGTAATATGAAAAAAAAAAAAACCGGTAAAATCATAAAATATATCAATACATTATGCATACAAATAGCTTCCAAAATTTAAATGAGTAACAATTATGAGAAAATTGATCAAATACATGTATTGAACTAATGGAATTGCGATGACCAAAAAATATGCATGAGTCTATAAAAAATATATATAAATAAGTATGTAAAAAAGCCCGATAACTAATAGTATACAGAAATTGTGTATATAGAATAGGATAGCTCTGAAAAAAAAAATATTACCATATTTTTCGCTCCATAAGACGCACTTATGGAGCGAAAGGGGGAAAATGTCAGTGCGTCTTATGGAGCGAATATGGAGCTGCCGGTGCGGTATTTCCACCGCTGCCGTGTCAGAATACCGGGCCGGCCACTCAGCTCTACAACTTACCTGTTCCTCGATCCAGCGCCGCGCGCTGTCTTCCCACGCTGGCTTCTTTAGTGTGGGCTCTCGGCTTGACAGCCGGGTGCTCAGTGCGCACGCGCGAGAAGCGGTGCGCTTTGTGAATGGTACGGCGGCATCTGGGACACATGACAGGTCCCAGAAGCCGCCGGACCAATCACAAAGCGCAGCGCTTCTCGCGCATGGAGCACTGGGCACCCGGCTGTCTGCCAGGTGCCCACACTAAAGGAAGAACAACTCCGTGGAAGTGGGAGTGGGTACCTGTCAAATTCAGGTACCCGCTCCCCCTCCCTCCCCAAAGGTCAGCAGTCATCTCCTGTACTGTCTGCAGTCTCTGGTCATCCCTGTACTGTCTGCAGTCTCTGGTCATCTCCTGTACTGTCTGCAGTCTCCGGTCATCCCTGTACTGTTAGCAGTCTCCGGTCATCTCCTGTACTGTGTCCGCAGTCTCCGGTCATCTCCTGTACTGTGTCCGCAGTCTCCGGTCATCTCCTGTACTATGTCCGCAGTCTCCGGTCATCTCCTGTACTATGTCCGCAGTCTCCGGTCATCTCCTGTACTATGTCCGCAGTCTCCGGTCATCTCCTGTACTATGTCCGCAGTCTCCGGTCATCTCCTGTACTATGTCCGCAGTCTCCGGTCATCTCCTGTACTATGTCCGCAGTCCCTGGTCATCTCCTGTACTATGTCTGCAGTCTCCGGTCATCTCCTGTACTGTCCGCAGTCTCCGGTCATCCCCTATACTGTCCGCAGTCTCTGGTCATCTCCTGTACTGTTTGAAGTCTCTGGTCATCTCCTGTACTGTTTGAAGTCTCTGGTCATCTCCTGTACTGTGTCTGTAGTCTCTGGTCATCTCCTGTACTGTGTCCGTAGTCTCTGATCATCTCCTCTACTATGTCTGCAGTCTCTGATCATCTCCTCTACTATGTCTGCAGTCTCTGGTCATCTCATGTACTGTCCGCAGTCTCTGGTCATCCCCTGTACTGTGTCCGCAGTCTCTGGTCATCTCCTGTACTGTGTCTGCAGTCTCTGGTCATCTCCTGTACTGTGTACTCCCCTGCCCTTAGCACAACTACCCAATCCCGCTGATGATGGGTCTTCCTGGAGGATTAGTTGGGTTTTTGTATATTTTTGGTAAAGCTGCTGTAAGATGGCAGCAATGCTTCACTTCTGGGTGTACCAAGATGGTGCTGCTGATTCTTCCGGTGTCAAGATGATGCACTTCTGGTCTATGGAGACACGCCATTTTTAAACATAGGAGGTGCTGTTACTACATTAGAAAGCTGATTCTGCTTTGGGAAAAACACTGGCACCAGGCAGTTCTTGGTAACAGCGCAGTGGCCAATGCTGTGGAGTCAAAAGCAGACACCCTTAAGGCTAAACCGGCTGACCAGCCAGGCACCTCCACTGAAGGGTCCAAGCTCCCGGTTACTGATGTAAGGGAGAGCTGGACCTCGGTTAGGAGGATTGTGAAGGGGGGGGGTCACCGAGAGGTTCCAGTAAGCTATAGCTGTTTCTCTTTGATGAAGCTTGCAGATCCAGGAAGACGTGAGAATTGTGGCTCCAAGCTCTTGGATTCATACACAAGTTTTGCAAGAAGTGTATTTTATCTGTTGCCAGTTGTGATTCTGTCTCATTCATTAAGAACTTTATGTGATCTATGCAGAAAGAAATGGTTTCCACTGTGCACTCTGTAAGGTCTGTGATTTCTGAAGAACCTACAGTATGTCTCGGGCTGCTTCCCTTCCTAGTGAACGCACTCCTATTGTTTTCCCATCCTTAGATACACATGTTTCTCATGCAGTGTCCGATATAGAAAAAAGAGGATGTCTGTCCCCGGTCTTCTGGGGAAGTGAGTTCAGAGAAGGGGGACAGAAATCCACAAGAAGGTTACTCCAGTAGATTTTTTTCCGGTGGAAGAGACAGATCAGATTCTGAAGGCAATTTATACATCTGAGCAGATTTCAGAAGATTTGCCTCCTTAATTTGTTCAAAATGTAATGTATAGAGGTTTACGGGAGAGAGAGTAAAACATTGCATGTACACACGTTTCTTAGGGACATGATCCAGAAAGAAAGATGTTTCTCTCCAGGAGCCATAAACAAAGATTTCTATTTGGTCCAGAGGAGATATCCTTTGACTTGTCTTTTGAAGAAGCAGGGATTAATAAAGACCAGATGGATAGGAAGGCAGAGTCATTGCTAAGGAAAGCTTCAGCTTTTTCACTTGATCCAGCCCTGGCTTCTACATGTTTGGCCCGGAACTTTGATGTCTGGGTTGACAAGCTGGGTGAACTTCTTTTCTCAGATACCCCGATACCCCTATCGTTCAGGCCCTAAAGCCTTGCCACTCATTTCCAAATCAGTGGCCTTCTTTGCAGATTCTGCAGTGGGGAGTGTTAGGGCTACGGCCAGAACTTCGACACTTTTGAACTCTGCTCACAGAGCCATTTGTCTCAAAGCTTGGGAGGGAGATTTGTCTTGTAAAACTAAGCTTTGTGGTTTGCGTTTTGAAGGCAGTCTACTATTTGTCTTTGGTCTGCAGACTATTCTTTCTCATTCCTTGGAAAGGGTGGTAAATTTCCAGTAAAGAGGAAGAATTTTCAAGGTAAGAGGTCCTTTCGGAGCAAGCAGGAGAAGTCAAATTGACCCTAATAAACCTCAGCCTGGTAATAAGTGCTAGTCTTTTGATAAGACCAAAGGAAAAGGGTGAGCCTTGTTCACCTCTAGGGAACCCACGCCTAAAGCTGATGCCAGGCCCAGAGGTAGGGGGAAGGTCGTCCCACTTTCACAATATTTGGGAACAAAATGGAGTATCACTTTTCATTCTGCAGATTGTGAAAGAGGGGTGCAGACTAAATTTTTTTACAAAATTGTGTATGAACCACCTGTGCTACCCAGAACACGCTAATATCCTAAGATTGGGAAGCTGCTATCACCTGGCTATACATCTGGATAGAATGGTAAGGAAAGAGAAAAAAAATGGTGCTGTGCTCCCACACAATTACCTTTTTTTTTTTTTGTTATTAATCTTTTATTAAATTTTCTTTCAATGCATATTAAAACAATACATACAATATCAAACATAAACAACATTAACTGTCCTTTTCCTATACCCCCACCCCTTCTCAACCCCTCCCCCTAACCATCTATATTCTCCCTATCCCTTTTTAACCCTTTTCTACTAAAAACCTATAGTCAGTCTACATGATTGCCACTCCACAGTTGTTCAGTTTAAATCTCTAAATCTACCTACTTAGTACCCATTATCCGGAGATATTTTTGTGATGATTTAAAAACATACCACCTATTCCATTCTTTTCTAAATTTTTCCGTTTTATCTTCCTCTATGTGGTATAACTCCTCCATCATTCATATATATTCAATCCTCCTCATCCAATCTCTCATTGTTGAGGGATCTGGAACCCGCCAAAATTTAGGGATTAATCCTTTTTCAGCGCTAATTAAATGGTATATTAAACTATTTTTATATTGTTTTATTGACAACTCGGTCCCATAGAATAAACAAACCTAAGGGTCCTTTTGGATAGTTATCCCCACAATCTCCTGTATATATCGTATTATCTCTTGCCAAAACCCCTGAATTTTTATACAATCCCACCAAATGTGAGTCATAGTCCCTCTTTCCCCACAACCCCTCCAACATAGTGGCAAAATTTCTTCTCTCTGTTTATGTGCAACACTCGGTGTACAATACCACCTAGAAAAACACTTATAATTCATTTCTGCTGTGTTTTATATGTATCACTTATACATTGCATCAACTTATACATTTTATTCTTTTGTTGCTCATTCATTTTTGTACCCAGCTCTTTTTCCCACCTTTCTAAGAATAACGGAGGATCTGGTCCCGCCCATTCAAAAAGAATCTTATATATTCTAGAAATTATATCTTTATAGGCGGAGCTGTAGCTCAACATTTTTTTTCAAATGGAAGCATATCCTCCAGCATCCTCAATGGTTGGGGAAGTGCTGAAACAAAATGACCCAGCTGATAATATCTAAATTCATCCAGTGTATAAAATAAACCTTTTTTACTCTTTAATTCCTGAAGTTCACATAACTTTCCCTTATCAACTATATCCCCTAATCGTGCAATTTTATTTCTAAAACATTTCCTTAAAATGTGATCATTTCCTGGTAGAAAAAGTTCCGTATCCACCAGGAGTATCAATAATGAGTTACATTCTCAACCCAAAGATTTGTGCACCCCATCCCACACTCTTAACATCTCCTGTGTCAGTGTACTGCTCTCTTCATCCAACACTCAATATTTTCGTGGAATCCAAATAATCCTCTCCAACTGTACATTACTTAGTGCATTTTCAATTTTAACCCAACTTTTCCCTTCCGAATTATAAATCCAATCCACCACCCTTGATAATAATACCGACATATAGTACTTCCTCATATTTGGCAAGTTCAGTCCCTCTTTCTCCTTGTTACATAGCATCTCACTTCGAATTCTAGGTTTCTTGTAAGCCCGTATGAACCTCACTATCATTTTTCTTATTTTCTTAAAAAGGATCCTGTTAAATATATGGGGAGCATCTGAAATTTATACAGGATGTGATGGTTTATGTAATAATTTATACTAACTAAACAGGGCAGTGTCAGCTCCCTTAAACAAAATATTGCAGTGCCTCCAGCCGCTAAAATAAAACACTTAATGATATTCCTTGAGTTCTTTTCACCAATATGATTTCGTTACCATATACACAAAATTTGCCTTTTTGATAAATTTATGTACAAATATTTATATATATATTAATACAAACGCAAAATACTGGTAATGAATATATTCGTACACACAAAGATACAGTACGCTAATCTCTATGGGATAATACAATATATGGTTATCAAATTACCTAAAACAAATTTTAGAGGGGTTAGTTGCAACCTACAGTGCTTCAGATATTATTTCCAATTTCCCGCGGGTTGTAGGGAAATAAGAAAGTATCTCTGATAATTAGCACCACAAAAAACACTACAAATCAGTTAGTATGTAGTATATGATCTCAGTACCAATACTCAAACAGTTACAGTTGCAAGAAAAAGTATGTGAACCCCTTGGGATTACGTGGAGTTTTGCATGAATTGGGCATAAAATGTGCTCTGAACGTCATCTAAGTCACAACAATAGAAGAGCACAGTCTGCTGAACATAATACTACACAAACATTAGATGTTGCCATGGTTTAATTGCACATAACATGTAAACATTCACAGTGCAGGGAGGCAAAAGTATGTGAGGCCCTAGCTTAATGACTTCTCCCAGAGTGAATTGGAGCCAGGAGTGAGCCAACCTTGACTCCAATCAGTGTGATGATATTGGATGTGTTGCTGACAGTTGTCCTGCCCTTAAAAAACACACACCTGTTTTGGGTTTACTGGTTTCAAGAAGCACTGTCTGATGTGAACCATGCCTCACAGAAAAGAGCTCTCAGAAGACCTACGATCAAGAATTGTTGACTTGCATGAAGCTGGAAAGGGTTACAAAAGTATCTCCAAAAGCCTTGATGTTCATGTGTCCACGGTAAGACAGACTGTCTACAAATGGAGAAAGTTTAGCACTGTTGCTACTCTCCCTAGGCGTGGTGGTCCTGTAAAAATGACTGCAAGAGCACAGCGCAGAATGCTGCATGAGGTAAAGAAGAATCCCAGAGTGTCAGCTAAAGACCTACAGAAATCTCTGGCACATGCTAACATTTTTGTTGACACATCTACAATAAGGAACACATTAAACAAGAATGGAGTAC